AATATACGATTTGTAACTATAGTTTGTTGTGAAGTAGGGATAATCAGTACAAAAGAATCGTTTCAAACGTTATATTTACGTCATAAATTAATCATGAAATATGGGGCACGCGCGATCATCAAAATCAGGAAAGTATAACTTGTGTTGATGTGATGATGGCATGCCTCAGATTTCCACAGAAACATCTAACAGAACGAGTGTGTGAAAGAAATTATTTTTTAATAGCCCTAACTTTAATATCAATCATAGTATGTATTTTTTGTATCGACTAATCGATGTGTTAAAATTCTTGATCTTGAAATCAGCCATAACTTCAGCTTCTTCTTGAACAGAGATAATGAGTTTAGTTGTTTCAATTCATTCGGTAGATCATTATATATCTTTGGCCCAAGAAACATGCTAGATCTCTGGGATATTGTTTTAGTCACAAGTGGAACTTGAATTTTTTTTACCTTGTGGAGTAGAAATAATCTAGAAATATTTGGCTCCGTTTTTCTAAGACATTGCCAAGCTTGTAAAGATCAGCTGATGGGTAATTGGTTTTCTGAATATTATTTTCAAAATCCATTTTTGAATTATTTCACCATTCTTTATAATGCCCCTCCCCAAGCTATTATGCCATATCTCAGTTGGGATTCCATTAATGCGCAAACCATAATTAAGAGATGTTTTTCTTCAAGAATGTTCCTTAAATATTTGATAGACAATAGGCTTCTAATTTTTTGCACTAACTTCCTAATGTGTAAGTTCCATTTTGAATGATTGTCTATCATTACACCGTGATACTCTATTTGTGTAGCTTGTGTGATTTTCATGATGCTGTTTTCACCTCTGATTTCAAGGGGTTGAAGACTGGGTAAGTTTTTGTTATTTACTGAAAAGGCTAAATATTTTGTTTTAGAATAATTTATAGTCAATAGTTTGAATTTGAGCCAGTCAATGATTGTTTTAAAGTAATTTTGTGCTTTAGTGATGAGCGAGTTCCAGTTTTCGGCTTAATAAAAAACTGCTGTGTCGTCTGCGTAGCTTATAATTGTCCCATCAGTGTGGAGATTGAACAGGTTATACTGCGAAAAGAATTGGACCAAGTATGGTGCCTTGAGGTACCCCAAACTTCATCACTTCGTATTTACTACTTTGACACACTGCTTTCTCTCACTCAAGTAACTTTTTATGAGAGTTAAACACGTGCCACGAATACCTGAATCCTCTAGAGCGTCCAGGAATTTATAATGACTGACAGTATCGAACGCCTTGGCCAGATCAACGAATATGCAGAGGCATGGTTTACTACTATCGAAATATTTATAAACTCGTGTAGTTAATTCCTTTATCGCATCTTGTGTTGACCTGGCCTCTCTAAATCCAAACTGTCTAGATGAGAGGTGATTATATTTCTCAAAAAAATCTGTTAACCTTCTCTTCAGAATATGCTCTAGAATTTAAGTTATACCAGTGATGAGAGAAATCGGTCTATAATTTATACATTTCAATTTTTCTCCTTTTTAAAAATGGGTTTGATAACTGTCGTCTTTAAAGATTTAGGCCAATATCCTGTCGTTGGCATTTCATTCATGAGCAGTGTAAGTGGCTCTTCAATATATTCTTTGATATGCAGCAGAACTTCTACTGATATTTCATCTATTCCTGGTGCTTTGTATTTTTTCAAACTTCAACTTCATCTATATTTGCTTCTGTTGAATATATTGAACTTTGGTTGACAGTTCTGAGCTCTTTATAATTCCGATCCATCTATATCTACCTCCTGTCCAAATTTTTCTGGAGAGACAGGCTAGATGGACTGCATATAGACTTGTGCACATTACCAATTGCACAAATCAATTTAATGCAGAGTGCAACAGATTGTTAGTTGACACTAAAAGTCACAGCATTTTGGAAATCACCTCTGACTTTATGCTCCAACTGTCAACTACAAACTGTTTCATAAAGTATTGTTCTAGAGTGGAGAGGACTGGGTCCTTCGGGAGAAGGAACTATTAAGAGGAGATAGTCGTTGGTTCACAGATGGATCAAAAACACCTTCTGATTCAAAACCACCTTCCGATTCTGGTGCAGGTATTTTCAGTCGCAGACCCAGGACCTACCTAGAAACCTATGCAACTGTATTTCAAGCGGAAATATACGCTAATGAGTTGTGTGCGGAGAGAGGCTGAGAATACAGCCTCATACCAAGTCAATTAAAATATTCTAGGACAGTCAAGCGAGAAGATACTTTGTGTCCACCCCGCTGGGTGTCCACCCCGCACAATAAACCTTTGCTAGTTGCGGTGGAGGCTACAATAGACCCACTCACTTTGAACCTAACCTAACCTATTTTGTGTTACTTTCTCGGACAGAAATCATAGTTGGGATTCGCCGGGGCTTGGTTCTGATGTGGGTTGGTTTTGACGGGTTCGAATGCTTTCTCCCAGTTGATCCCAGACATGTTCGATGGAATTCAGGTCCGGGCTGCAAGCAGGCTACGCCTAAGTAGTAATATAGTGGGCTTGTAGGTACTGACACTCGATCCCTGCAGGATGGGGACGCGCCTTATTGTGCATAAAAATGAAAGTGTGCCCTCTTGCTTCTGCTCTGTGACGTATCTGGAGCGTTGCGGATAACTACAAGGTCTGTACGATCACTGAATGTTATTCCATCATTGATCCACCTCCAAATGGGACCCTTGAAAACAAGCAGCAAGGAATAAAACGTTCATGCTTTCTTCTGTATACTTTGGCCTGACCAAACGTTACCAAAAAGTAAATTCAGACTCATCAGAAAAGAGTACTTTACGCCAAATCCTTTGCTGCCAACGTTTGTATTTTCAAGCGAACTGTATCCTTTTTCTTTTGTGACATGCTGTGAGCCGAAGTACCTGGACTGATCGTCTAGATCTTAATCCCTTTGCTCGAAGTTGATTTCGCACAATTTCTTCGGAAGTTGGGGTCCCCGATGTTTGACTCAGCTCATTTTGTAGCCCCTGACTGTTGGAAATCTGCATATGAGGGCACTTAGACGTGAATACCTGTCCTCTTGGGCTGAAGTGGACCTTCGCCGATCTTGACCCGGCCTTCTTTGAACAGTCTGTAATTGTTGGTTGCGTTTTCAAAGCCTTGAAACCACTGATTGTCTTACATCTAACCTTTGACCTACCTGACGTTGAGGAACAACACTTTCAATCCATATGATAGCCCTAGTGACACCATTGACATGAATAAATCTTGGTACAGAAGGCATCAAACAGAAAATAAGTGAACTGCACCTTGTTAGTTCGATTGACAACTGGTTGGTACTTGGAATCATGTTCTTCTTCTGTTTTTTATGGTCTTTACTTTCCTTCGGCGCAGTAGATCGGTGGAATCATGTTTACTTCTGTTCCTATTTCGGAATGTTTACAAAAAGATAGGAATTATCTATACCAATCCAAACCAAGAGACAAAAACAACCTCTGAACTGTGTCTTATCAAAGTTGTACACTACCAGAGGTCACATTATTATCTGGTATCTGGTATATGTAGAGAAGGGAGGGTGAGTGTAGACTCACAGCACACATGTGACCCATTTTACATCCTCCCGAGGAGTTGTCCTCCTAGGTCATCCTCCATCCTGTCCTTTCCAGGAAGGTGAATAGGTCACTAGGAGACATCTCCTTTATATTGGCAGGTGTAGGCCTAGACTCGTCAAATACACACCTTGAGGTGTCTCCGCGAAGGTTTCTTCAACCTTCTTGGGGTTCCCTCCGTGAAGGTGCACAAGTGTGGGAGCTATCCTGCAGGGGCAGCCGGTTCCTTGCCTTCAAGGCGGAGCTTTTGGCGTCTGCCGCAGGAAATGCCCTTGCTGTTGGAGGTGATCTAATATGTTCAGCCTCATTCCAAGCGGTAGATTGGGGTGGACATTTCTATTCATCCCCAACCACCGCCTTAGATTGAGGTGAGCACTGTGCCCATCCACATTATTATAATTATCATGATATTATTCTTGTACGCGATCATGATGAGGTAGTAATCTTTCAATTGTTTTGAGGAGTGTATATGGAAGAGTTAGGATACGACATTTCACTCACATGGAATCATCCTCGATGCCGGACTTTGGAGTTGAGGAATTAGACACCTATCTCATAACCTCATCAACACCTTGATGGATAATATTACAATAATAATTTCACAAATGAGCAAAAAATTCACACATGTCACAAAGACAGTACGTAAAGAAATCCATACGCTTATTTGATCGATGAGAGCCATAGGAATGTTGTTGAAAGATGTATGTGTATGGGAGACCAGTTTATGAGAAATACAAAACCTTTTGGCTTCTACTTCTCCATCTTCATACAAAAATTTGTGGAAAACCCTCATAGGAAGGAAGACAGCAATTGATTTCATCATCTTTGGTGAAACCGCCACTAAGAGGTTCCACATAGTGTACTAGGTTTGTCTAAGAGAATGACGACATTGGAATGGATGATTTGTTGGACATTTTTGAAACATCTTCAGGATCTCCAAGATACGAAATAACTGGCTGAAGTTGAACTGGCATCAATGCTGATACCATGTCGAGGCTATTTTCTAGGTCCTCTATCCATGGCCTACAAGTTCTTATGCCTTCGATTAGCAGTGATAGTAAATGATTGTAATGAATGCATACCACATTTTTAGCCGGCACAAAATCAAAACTACTCATTTTACCGAAAAAAATGTGGAGAATTTTTCTGTGAAGAATTGATCAATATACCTGAACGTAATATTTTATTTCCATTCATAATATTGAAGTTTTAACAAAAATCAGTCCATTGAGATTTAAACAGTCTGCTGAAGGTGTAAACAACTCGAATAAATCAATTTTTGAATCTGAGTTGAATTCAAATTGCCGCAGTTCATTAAAAAATAACCACCCACTTCAGTGTCCATATCGCCTGCCTCATAGAACATCTATTCCTCCGCAAATACATAATTGAGAGCTTGGATCCGCATCCATTTCAAGAGACTTCTTTTTTTTTTCAGTATTCCAGGATGTCCATGTTATGATATTCATCGGCTTTGGGTTTTTAATGACATTTTTGAAGCGTTATGGATATAGCAGCGTCGGATTTACATTATTATTGGGTTCTATTATTATTCAGTGGGCCCTGCTTTGCCAAGGATTCTTCGAACTCAACGCCGACTATAAAATTGAATTGGGAATCGAAAGGTAAAGGGAATTTTATTTCGGAAAGATGCGAGAGAATTGATGCTATATCGTTGAATGATGCTGACATAATGCTGGAATAACGATGAATGGATCCACAGATGATCGATACAATCATCGTTATTTGTGAGTTGGTATTATCATAAAAATATCAGATTTATATTTCACAAGTAGAAAAAGTTGATGCATTGATAGCGACTTGAGTATTTCATTTACTTTTCTCTGATGAAGGATTATTGTATTATCTCCCAGAATATCGTAATATCGTGAATTGAAAAAATTATGGGCGGTTCTTGTTCAAAATTTCATATCGGACTAACCGAAAGAAGTATTTCCAGAAGAATAAAAGAGCGTAGAAGTAGTTTTTTGAATGGAAATACCGATTTAACATTTGCAAATCATCTTTTGACAGAGGGATACAAATTCAATCATGATTATGATGTAATAATAGTAATAGTGATATGTTTTATCATTATAAGACATACCAAATAAAATTAAAATAAAAATGGTGTATGGGAACATACTATGTTAAAATGGAGGATATAAAAGATATGTATATATAAAAGAGTAAAAGTCAAGTTTATAAAAGAGTAGACATGAAAAATACCAACTTAGGAGCTCCTTAATAAATAAAGATAAAAAATATCAGTAAGTCAGTTGAAAGCTATCGTTAAAACATTCATCCAAAGTATAATAGGGTCCATCCGTGTTAGGAATCACACGTTAAAAGGTAAGACCTCGTTAATCCTTAGCTCGCACAAGTTTAGACTTCTGAGGGTTGTCGTTCGTAGGGGTGCGACTACTGGTTAACGGAAAAACAGATTTTAAACAGACAGATCGGAAAGGAATTGTTTGACTAACTTCCTGAGTTGGAAGTCATTTATATTTGGCAGATCTTATGTCCATAGGCACAAATGATTGTACATTTTTCCACCGTTGTAAAATATGGAGTTTCTGGTGATGTTTTCAGTTGGCACCGTGAATTTCAGAGAGTGTCTGCTGTTTCGGGTGTTATAATGGTTATGGGTGTTATAATAAAAAAAGTCCTGACTCCCGAAACTGTATCTCGATTATTTATAATTTTTACAAAGCCCTGAAAATAGAGCCAAAAGCGGGTAGTCTGGCTTCCGCGCGCCTTTCGTCACTCTGACATAAAAACAAGAAAAAATATTTAAACATATCAAATGTAAATATTAAGGAAAAAATTCATGTACTGTCCGCAGTCAGAATATTTTTATCCCAATTTCAACGTTAATTATAAATTCGTTAATTAATAACTTTTTCTGAATTGAAAGTTAATATAAAAATACCTATAATTATCAAACTAAAACCCTGGCATTTTTTTCCTTTG